TATGAATTCGACTACTCTAGGTGCCTTATGTAAGTGGAATCACACAGTATTTATCTTTTTGTGATCGGCTTAATTTACTTAGCATAATGTCCTCAAGATTCATCCATGTTGTAGCATGTGTCAGAATTTCCTTCCCTTTTAAGGAGCAATAATATTCCATTGTATGTATGTGCTACATTTTATTTATTCACTCGTCTGTAGATGGGTAATGTTGAGTTATGAGAATTCTTTCTATATTCTAAGTACAATTCATTTGTTGGATATATGATTTGCAAATATTTCTCCTAGTCTGTAATTTGTTCTTTATTCCAACAGGGTCTCTCACAGAGCAAAAGATTTTAATTTTGATGACATCCAATTTATTGTTTTTTCTTTTGTGAATCATGCTTTTGGTGTCAAGTCTAAGAACTCTTTGACTTGTGTTAGGTCTGGAAGATTTTCTCCTATGTTTTTCCTGAAAGTTTTATAGTTTCATGTTATACATTTTAGTCCATGATTCCATTCTGAGTTCAGTTTTTTTTTTGTATAAAGTGTGAGGCTTAGATCAAGATTCATGTAGCTTTTTTTATTTAGTGCAATCTTTTATTCAGAATAGGAGTGGGATTAATGAGGCAGAAAGTATGTAAGTTTTTAAAAATATCTAGGTTTTATTTCTAATTTAGGGGATGACTGTGATATTGGGAATCTCAAGTGCTGGGAGATTCAAACTCAGTAGGAGGAAAGAGGGCAACTGCAGTCCATTAGTAAGTGAGATATTTACAGAGCAGGTGGGAGTCCTGGAATGTCCAGTCGAGAGAACAAACAGCACATGCTGGTTCATTTGGGACAGTCCCAGATCACACCTACTGTTCCACTGAAATTATTAATAGTGCCACTTCCACTGTCAAAGGGTTCTGGTCTCTTCACTACAGAATATGGATCACATTATGTAAGTGACCGCCTGCGTCACGTATGCCCAGCTTGCTTATTTCATGATCCCACTCGAGAGTAAATGCCATAGGCCAAAAATCTTATATAATTGTCTTTCTAAGAGACTAAATTGGTTCTTTAACTTCAGAAAAGCACAGAAATTTCCTGTTGGGAAAGATCCTAGGGATGCTTTAGACTAGCTAACATTTATCTAGCACTTATATGCCAGGCACTGTTCTAAGAATTTTACACATAATAATCAGTCCTCACTGCCACCTTTATGGTGAGTCTCATTTTCTCATTTTCATTTCACAGACAGAGAAGCTAAGTCACATGCTCAAGTTTTTGTGGCTGAGGATCATAAATCTATGATTCAACCTGGGCAGAGTGGCTCCAGAGGTTGGACTTAACCACTGCTCATCCACCTCTCTCTCCACATGATTCTACAAATGTGCGAAGAGAGCCCAAGGAGGTTAATAAATTTAAAGTGGTGAGAGAGGGCCCATCCCAAGTTTCCATACGCAACCAGGTGAACAGTGATATCTGGCAAGTAAAATAGACTATAGAATAATAAAGCCAGACTATTTCTCTGTGTGTGTGAAACATGGGTCTAATAAAGGTTTGGGTTATAGTTGTAGCCACGTGTTGTAAGAGCTTGGTCAAGTCACTTAAGGAATTTCAACATCCTCATTAAAGAAGGATGATGAAAACGTCTCCTCACATGAAGTATGAGTCGCCAAGCACGTGGTGAATGTTGGTGGTGTTATCTGAGCTAATTTTCAGAAAATCATTGAGATAGTATGGAAATGGTGTGATACCTGGTTGATTGGCTCTGTTTACACCTTGCTTTGAAAAGTCACAGTCCGTTCTTCTGTATGTCTCTGTCCACTCTGAAAAGATGGCCGAGAAGCTTCCCTTTTACGTGCTGCTGTTTCAGTAAGTAAAGATAGTAGTGGCCGGATCACACATGTCAACAGAACCTGAAACATCCATTGACATCCAGGTCTCGTCTTTGTTTCTGAAGCAACTTTGCTCTTATTTTCCATCATATTCCTGAAGGGAATAGATGTTTACAGCTTGTTGGTAAGTGTCCAATTTATAGCATATAACTAGAGGCTGCATAAAGAGACACTTAGTTCTGACACTACAGATGAAATTCCCGCAGAATACAGGGGAAGCTGAGTGAACGGGCTGAGTAAGATACCACTCAGCTCTGAGTAATTCTTATCAGAACACGATCTATTTCCCTCTATATAGATGGTGCCAGAGAGTTTCAAGTTATAGAACTAGCTGCTCTGGAAGGGTCTGAAGCAAAACAACAGGGGATTTAGTTAAAAGTAAAAGAGAGATTTAAACATCCCTTCCAATTCAGCTCAAAATTAGGACCAGAGAAGGGTCAAAAATAGAAAGAAACATATAAAGGTCATATCTATTTTGACTATGCCTACATTGTGGAAAATACACATTAAAATCTTGGTATGGACAGACATTATGGAGTGTCTGGAGTTGTGCTCTGCAATCAAAGTACCCAGGTTCAAATCCCAATGCGAATCTTGGCACAGTGAGGCACTAGCTGTGGGCCAGTCCCTTCTCTGTGATTCGGTTTCCTCATCCTCAAGATGGGGATAATAAGATTACCTACTTCACAGGCTGATTCCAAGGATAAAATAAGGAAACCCATGTAAAGAGTTTAAAACAGCAGCTGGCACATAGTAAGCCCACACTATGTATGGATTTTTATTTGTATTATCTAAAAACATGCGCTTCGAAGTCAGCTTTTCAGTAGAAAACGTTGTTGAAATTTACCCATAACATCATGTATAACGTCATTGTTTCACTCAGGACTTCTCAAAATGTCTTTTGGTAAAGGAACAGTTTTTAAAGATTTTAATGTCTAATATGCCTGATTGGACCGATTATTTTGTAAAATACTTGAACTTTGCAGCAGTGTGGAATTGCAATAAGAGTTTCTAAACGCTTCCTCTCATTTTTCTTCTTCTCTCATCATTGACCAGCAACACCAGTCCACGCACAGCACCAGTCCATTGATGACACTCTGTGTAGCACTGGCCTAGGTTCTGCCCTTTGCCCTTTGCTGTCTGAGCTGGACATCTGTTGTTCACCATCTCTTTACCTTTGCCCTGGAAATGGTGTCTCCTTTGACTTTGGGGACACCCCTCCTCCATCCCATATGCTCCAGTGAAGCTCCAGAGCAGAGTGCCCTCCTGAATACAGGGCGGATCCATCTCTGTCCTGGCAGGAAACAGATGGCACCCTCAAAGTAGGTAATGTGAGGACAATTTAATAATGACAATGTTTACATAGTCAAGAGGCAGGATTTAGAGAAACAAACAAGAGATAATGCACTACTTGGAGCTAGGAGAAGTGGGGCACTATTGCTGCCTCTAAGCCTAAAAGGCAAGGGGAGGAAGTGGTTACCAGGCCTTGGAGAGGGCAGCTGATGGAGAGGGCTTCCTGATAATAGCTAAGGTGTTGAGAAGAGCAATGATTCAGGGGACCCAGCAGAAGGTGATTCAGGGGGATAAACACCATAACCTCACTCTTCTCCCATTCTCTAATCTCATGTAAGTGCCTTCCATTGGCCAAACCCAACTAGAAGCTGGAGAGAAGGAGCCCTTGATGCTGTCCATGCAGGTCAGCCGTTTGGGCAGAGAGCAGAAATAGGTGGAGAGTGGACCACAGGAGGACAAAGCACTCTGGTTTGCCTGGGTCTGGGGGGTTTCCTGGGACAGAGAACTTTCAGTGCTAAAGCTGGGCCAGTCCCAGGAGAACTGGGACAGTTGGTCACCCTACCATCTGGATGAGCAAAGCGGGGTGGGGCATAGGATCCCAGTCTGACCGATCATAATATATCCATTTTCTTAGCCTCAACAATGTGTCTACTTTGTCTATTCATCACTCAAAGCAGCGTGTTTGTGTGTATACGGACATGCTGGCATGGGGGTGGTGAGAAATCTAATCCAATTAAGTGTAATAACGAGTGCAGGGTCCACAAGGCCTCAGTGAAATCACTGGATGTTCTGGGCAGGGGCTAGTCCATTAGGGACATTTAGTGACTGGGATACTCTCAATCATACTGAGCAGTTGTTCTCAAATTTGGCTGCACTCTGAAATTACCTGGGGAACTTTAAAGTTACTGTTGCCTGGGCTCTTCTTCTCCATGATCCTCTGATTTAATAGGTGGAGACGTGGCCTTTGTGATTCCAATGTGCAACTTAGTTTGAGAAATAAGATGACCTCTAATGGGGATGCTAGGGGACTTTCTAAGGGTAGAGAGTTGCTTCAGTTTATTGCCAGGGATGCTGGACACAGGCTGAGAGCTAACTGATTAACTTCATGTCCCATCAGCTGGGACCAGGGCTTTGCGTAAATGTCCTGCCTTGGTTGGAACTAAGACGTTGAATATCTCAGGCTCTTCCAGTGACCCAATCTGGAGAGGGCAGGGGGAGTCAGGGGTCTTCCAACAGTCTCCTACCCTAAAGTCAGATTTTAGGAGTATGGTGCTGGGTCTTTGGTGGGAGGCTCCGTCAAGCCTCTGTTGTCTGAAGGAAAGCTTGCCATCCCAAGTCCTGGAAGCACGCTTGTCCCACAGAGTGCTGGGATAAGACCATTGATTATATTATCCTTATGTACTATTAGGTGGTCTTCCAAGAAACATTTGGGAGAATCATGGACACTGTTAAGTAAATACCACCTGCAGCACTGGGTCAGGACTAGGGTGAGGCAAGAGAGGCATTGAGGGAGTAAAATTTAAAGAGGCATCCACTCCAGCCCTGAGAACAGGTGCCTCCTTAGATTTTGCACCCTTTGTGTCCTTCTTGCCTCATCTCATCCTCAGCAGCCCTGTGCTGCAACCCAGTCATTCAGAATTGCCCATTTGACAAGCAGCTCACAGGTATAGTTTGGAGCGTCTGCTTTTCTAACTATGGATTGATTGATCAAGGAGGGGTGGAGAAGGAGGAGGATCTCACATTGGACTCCAGTATTCCTTTTTATCTCTCCACTCCACACTGACACAGATGGCAGCCACTTCCCGTGGTCCGATGGCCTCTCCTTCCCTGTATCGCATTTTAGCTGCTCTGAAGGATCTACCTGCATCTCTTGGAAGCAACTCTTTGGTTGGGCCCCTCACGGTGGATTTTTTGTGAGTGCCATATAGTCTCTATTTGAAGACAGACCAGCTCAAATATACCTTTCAAATTGGAAGATAAGCTGGACCCCGTCTTCAGCAGCTATCAGAGATGACTGCCTGCCTATTCCTTTGCGGTACCTTGCCGATTTTCAAATGATCAGTTGTAAACACACTCTCCACATTTGGTAGGACTCAAATCAGTGTTATATGATGTGTTTCCAAAAAGAAACTTCATTTTATTATACAAATTTCCCTTTCAAATGATCAGTTGTAAACACACTCTCCACATTTGGTAGGACTCAAATCAGTGTTATATGATGTATTTCCAAAAAGAAACTTCATTTTATTATACAAATTTCCCTTTTTGTAGTCAATAACTGATTCTTTAAAATTTGTCTTCATTTTCAATAATGAATTTAAGAGCTTAATTATAAGTCAGTTTATATATTTGTGTATATATATATTTCTCTTAAATTAGAATTCAATATTATTTTTTACCAACAATGAAGTCACTTTCAGCCCTTTTATCATGGGATATTCTTAGTATTGAAGTTTTAAAGTGTCTCAAGAGAAGAGTGCTTTCGAAGAGGGCTCTGGCTTTTATTGGTGTTATGGGGTGCCTAGCACTTCACAATACTTAACACAAATGAAACTATAACAGCCACTTTGTACTCATAATGCAATAAAGGCATGCTTATCACTGAACACACCACCCAGTTAATGCTTAATAGCTCTAGTTTCTGTATCTAACAGCCACCAGCCAGAATGTGTCCTGACCTGACCCTCTCTGTTGATATAAAGCTAGATAAAGGATGAATCCACACAAAGGTCCTGTTGGTGGATGGCTCTTGGCTATTGTCTATTACCCTGGGACAAAGAAAATAGGCAGAGAGAATGGGAGGAGTATAAGAACTTTGGAATATGAGATGGTGACCAAGGCCCTAAATGGAGATTGTGGGTTCCTTTCCCTGGAAGCCCCTTGGCCCTGGCTGGTCTGCTCAGATCCAGACGACCTCTGGATGTTCTTCATTCCTTTTCTAGAGAAACCAGGACACAGGTGCTTTGCCTGAGGTCACAGGGTGAATCAGCATCTACATGGAGATTCTAATTCCTGTGCTGGGCTCAGGCCTCGGGGGTACGGATAACCATCAACACTGAGCTTTAATTTTTTTTTAACATTAAAAAAAGCTTTGGCAATCACTTTCCCTTCACCACCACTATTGATTTTCCACTATTGATAGATTAAAAAAAAAAAAAAAAAAGACTATTTGCCTGTAAATGGAGCAAGCAAGCATCCATTTGCATTTATATTAGCAGGGTACTCTTTGTCATTAATTACTTATTGTTTTTAGTTATCCTGAAAGTTGAGTCTTCTGGTCTCTATTTCACAGCTGAAGCAGGTTTCTGAAGATTGTTGTCACTTCCATGTCGGGTGGGCTTTTGTAACTTAGATGTCAAAGAGAACAGAGCCTTCCTTACTTGAGGTAGGTACTCACGAGCTTATTGAATGAATTTTTACGTAGATTTTCTTTTGTGAAAATACTCACCAGCGTTTTGAGATTTCATTCACTGTTGTTATGGAAACCCTTTGGTTCATTTGTTGCTAGCATTGTTGGCGAACTTTTACTACGGAAATTCTCAAGCAGAGAGGTCAGTATAATGAACTCCCAGGTGCGCACATCCACCTTCCACCGTGATCAACATTTTGCCAATTTCATCCCATCTATCTCCAACCTCTTCTTTTATTTTTGGTTTTTGTTTGCTGAAATATTTTAAAGCAAATCCTAGATACCATAGACTTTTCACCCATAAATGCTTCAGAGAACAGATAAGGACTTAAACCCAGAATCATAACACCATTATCGCACCTAATAAAGTTCACACGATTATTTAATACCATCTAATGCCAATCCATGATTTAAAAATGTCTAATTTTATTTGATTTCTTGAATCAGGATCCAATATTTGTTGCTGTTTGATTTCAGTCCCCTCAATTTGATAAACATTATTGAGTACCAATTATGGGTCAGTTCTTTTATGGCAACAAAGACCAATGTAATTTAGGCCCTGGCCTGGATGTGGCCGAAGTCTTGCAGAGAAGACAGGCACAGAAATAAATCACTCTCATATGTAGAGCACAGGGAAAACCTGAGTTGTGCATCACATGCAGTGGGCACAGGGGGAGGGGGCTCGGAAGCTGCAGGAGAGACAGCAGGACATTTCAGATTCCAATTGCTAACATCTATGAAGCAATTGCTACATGCCAGGGACTGTTTTGAATGTGTGTCAACACATTTAGTCTCCTCAACTTTCCATATTATTATTATACCTGTTCTATACACTGAGGCATGAAATAGTTAAATAATGTAGTTATTGAAAGACAAGTAGGAATTTGACAGGTAGCAAATTGGGGCAGGATATTTAGGCAGAGGAAATCCAGTGAGGAAGGAACCCTGATGTGAAAGTTCCCGGTGAGGTGTCCAGGGTGGCTGATGTGTGTCTGTCGGGGGCCAGTGATTGGTGCGGGGGAGGGGTCAGAAGTGCAGAGGAGAGCTGCAAAAATTGGCTGGCTGGAGTTTGGGAATGCTTTATAAATTAGGCACAGGAGTTTGGACTTTTCTTTAGGAAATGGGATATCACTGAAATTTTATAAGAAGACAATGATAAAATCCGGATTGTTATTTTGGAAAGAAAAATCTGCTGGCATCTCCAGGGATACAGTGGAGTAGGGATTGCCTGAGAAATCTCTGGGAAAGAGACTAGCAGGGGGACAAGCCAGGAGAGAAGGAGGTGTTCCACAGTGATTTTTTTCTAAAGATATTTAAGATGTTCTTTTCTTACTATGAAAAGTAATACAGGCTCATTTTAGAAAATTTGGACAAGACATAAAGAAGAAAAACAAAATCCCATGCTCCCAAAAGAGGTGCCGTTGAAGATTTTGGTAGATCTTCTTCTAGTTTTACACACACACACACACACACACACATTTTCTTTTTCTAAAATTCTGATCATAGTTATATATTTTTTTGAATCCTGTCTCTTGCACTTAATATTATGCCTTAATATTTTCAGTGTCACCAGTGATTAAAAAACATGATTTCGAATGAATATGTTATTCCATCAGATAGTGACATCATCATTTATTAATCATCCTCCTATTGTTGGACATTTGGGTTCTTTACAGGTTCCTTTTTTCTTTGTTTGCATTTCAGAGGGTAACCTTTACTTGAATTTATACCAAATTTCCACCCCCACGTCAGAACTGGAATCCTTGATCCCCCATTGCTGTGACTAAAGTAATTCTGAACTTGTCCTCTGAAACCATCTTCCCATGCCCAAAGGCAAACAGTCAGCAGCCACAAGAAGAGATGACATTGAACTTCAAGAAGTTGATTTTCAGTCTGGACTTGCAGCTCTAAAATCTACCCACCACAGTGTATTTTGGATGACAGTTCATCAAGAGGGTTGACTGGGCTTTGACCTGGGTTTGCAAATCAGGTTAACACTCTTGTTGTTACTGCTGCCCACAGGAAAACATTTTTTTCTAGGATGCTCTTCACTTCACGTAATAGCCACCCTTTAAACCTATTAATAGCTGCTTCCATAATAGAGAGGAATGACAATGGAAATCTCTAATTTTTGAGAGTATACAAAGCAGGGGCAGGTTGCTCAGCTGCTGGAAGTAAGTGCTATTTTGTAGGTAACCTTCAAAATACTCAGATGTTCCTTGTATGCCAGCAAGGACCTCATTATAATAAGTTCGTCTCTTGTCCCCTAAGTCATTTTTCACTGTAACTCTAAAGTGACCATTTGAATTCTTTCAAAGATTGCTATGGTTAGATTACTTGGGAATCTGGGTATAAAATGTAATCTGTCCAGTGTTTGTATGTAATCTTATCGGACCATATCTAATTGAACGGTAGGAATTAGAGGTAATGGATCAAATCAATTATTTACCCTCCTCCAAAGTAATATGATAAACCAGTAGAACAGTGTGAAAATATAGGGAATTTAGTTGATGGTGCTTCTGATTAAAAACAGAGCAGAAAAATAAAAAGAGAATGACAAAAACAACAGAAAGTTGGGCATGTTTCCAAGGAGATATTTTTTCAGTAGTCCATTTTGATGTGCCGAATTTTGGCTGTTTATATTCAATGCATTTGACTACTGTTCAAGACAGTGGTTTAGTAATTTAATTGTCAATTTTGAGAAACAACTTTCAGGCACCACTTGGAGGCTGGTCACACCTGAGTGAGATGTGTGCACCATGAGAATCCATGGACCTGAGGATCCAAGCAGGCCCCTGGGAGATAGACACCAGGCAGCTTTCCTCAAGAGAGAGAACTGTGATCCTCAGGAACTCATTTCAGCAAAGTCAGCCACGTGTCTCCATCAGGGATATTTGGGTGAAGCCATGTTTCCTCACCTCCTTCAAGAGAGTGGAGGGAACTTTTCTTGCAGAGTCTGACAGGATTTGTTTGGGCTAAGCGATCTGAATCTGAGGCTCCAAGTTCTTTTTTAGACTTTAAGAAACATGATTTTCAAATGCCTACCGTGGAGTTCCTTCTCAGACATCTCTGCAATGATACATTTAAAAGCACAGAATAGGCATTTATTTTTGGTCTGTTGTTTACCGAAAAGTAGAAATAGAACATGTTAAGGAATTGTATATGGAAGGTTAAGGAACTGTACATGGAAGGTGAGAAAGATGGAATGTTGGAAAAACAAAACATTTCTTTGAAAGGCCACCATATGGAAGGATCTAGATCTGAATTCATTTAGAGAAGGGTAGCCAGGTTATTGTGATGTCCCCTTCCCTTCCCTTCTGTTGAATTTCTCAGAAAAGAAATTTAAGAGGGAGGAACAAGGATAGAGATCCAGGAAGTGTGATGGGCTGTGGGTGGGGTGGGAGACAGACAAAGGAAGAAACCGATTTATGTAATGCCTTTGCATTTTATTACTTGTCTTCCTGGGATAGGTTTTCTTCACATTTGTGTATGTAAAAGTCAGATCACATGTCAGAGCTCTCAGGAGGATTTGATCAGACAATCTTACCCTTAATTCCAGTATTGGAGAATGGTACTAGAATTCCCACTTGTTGACTTTATAAGATCACTCTTCTTTCTTTATTTATGCACATTATGAAAAATTTAAAAAACATAGAGAACAGGAAAAAAAGAAAAGAATTCCAATAATTCCATTATCCAAAGAAAGTGTTTGTTAATGTCTGTGTCTCTTCTTCCAGTCTGTGTTGTTTTCCACATATATGTAGAGCACAGGTCAGGATGATAATATCTTTGGAGTCAGGTGGATCTCAACTCAAGCACCTGTTCTGCCTACCAGCTGTGTGAACCTGGATAAGTAACTTAGCTTTCTTGAGTCTGTTATATGAAAGGAATATAAAAATACCTATACTAGGGGCTGGCCCGGTGGCGTAGTGGTTAAGTTCACGTGCTCCACTTCGGTGGCCTGGGGTTCGTGGGTTTGGATCCCAGGTGTGCACCTATGCACTGCTCATAAAGCCATGCTGTGGCGGCATCCTATGTGTAAAAAATAGAGGAAGATGGGCACGGATGTCAGCTCAGAGCCAATCTTCCTCACCAAAAAACAAAAAAACAAAACAAACCTATGTTAGATGGTGATTGTAAGAATTAAATGAGCTTATGTGGGAAAGTGACATGTTTTAGCTAATGTTAATAAGGTAGCTAATGTTAACACTATTAGAATTGTGATAATATAGAGGTTAACACTATGGAATTGTGATAATTCTAACAGTGATAACACTATTAGAATTCTGATAATATAGGATACATGCCATTTCTTGCTTTTTCCACTGAACATTGCAACCTGTTTTATAGCTTATTACAAACTCAACATGATCATTTTTGCCAAGTGCATAATATTTTGTTGCATATTTTGCTAAACTTTTATTGTATTTTAGCACATTTACTTTCCTTTAAATTGTATACTATTTTAAGAATTCTTTATTCTAGTAAATATTATCAAGAAGTAGAGAATAACAGTAGAGATAATAGGAAAATTATATGAAAGGAGAGAAAAGAAGGAAAAGATGAAAAAGAATTAAGTCCGCTACTGCATGCAGTATAAAACGTATCAAAGCTTTTTGAACTTAATAAATTTTTTTCACATGTTATGTTTTTATTCATGGAAAATTATTGCAAATTAACAGAATAGCAAGTTGGTTGTGAAGACCTCATCACGAGTGGTGAGAAAGAACGCTTGCTAGCAATCGATGAAAAAGCAAATACTCACTTTTGGAAGTATTTTAGTTGAAAGCAGTCAAAATGAATGCATCAAATCACTGGGAAACAATTCGGTGGAAAACAGCATTACAAAAGGGCCAGAACAGAGATTATTAACAGTTGGAGTGATTAGAGGTTCTGTGGACATAGGATCTAAGCAGAACTTTTAAATGATAGGTAGAATTCGGACATTTTGAGAGGAGCAGGGAGCTTTCCTGCTATGGACAAGTGTGGGACAGGGTGGAGATAATATAAAAAAATGAAGGGGAGCCAAAATGAGTATGTATGTGTGTGTGTGTGTGTGTGTGTGTGTGTATTGCAACCGAGAGTCCAGCCTCATGATAGTGGAAAGCTCTTATCATGGAGCAGAGGGAGGGACATATATATTGCAATTGACTATGGAGACTTGAATGCTAGAAAGGGAAATTGGCTAAAATACTATTTTAGCTTTTTAAGTGGGCATGTGGAAGCTAAGAGAGGATATTGCTGATAATCATCACGTAAACTTTTGTTCTCCCTTCAGTGTGAAAAACTGTCATAGGAGGGATTCTATCAGAGAATTGGAGTCATGTGCAGCCCACTGTGGAGACTTCTTAGCATAAACACCAGGGCCACTTGACTATCCATAAATCTTGGGATTGACTGTTGTCCTCAAAGAACCACGTGCTTCTGCCGGAGATCCATGCTCCATGCCCCTGCCCCATGTTGCTCAGTTCCGAATCCCACGTCACACAGGTGCATTTCATTTGGAGAAGCTAAGTCCCAAGGAGGAATCTAGTCCTTAGGCACAAAGTAGTCTGGGATTGCAAATTTTCTAGGTTAATTGTGTAAAACATTACCAGAGCGTCAGAAGATGGTATAAAGGTATTTTACGCCTGTTGAAGTAATGAATGTCCACTACTAGATTTTTGGGAGGAGGGTTTTAGTTAATGGTAAACATCTTTTTACTTTTTGATATAAGAGAATCCAATAATGTCATCTCTTGGGTTTATAGTGGAGGAGAGAAGTCCTTTACCCGCTTTGTGGTCTCTATGAAATGTCTGGACTCTTGGTTATGGGACAACCAGGGTAATGGAGTTTTATATGTTGAAGGACCTCAAAAAGAGAAGCTTGTGCCAATAGAGGAAGTTAAATTTAATTTGATAGATATTTAATGAGTACCTACTTATGTGCCGGGACCTATGCGAGGGATTAACAGTCCTTTAACCTTCCTAATTTCATACTCTTTTCATGCCTCTGTTGCCAGCCAGCTTTCCATACCTGCAGTAACAAACAATCCCCAATCTCAGTGACTTGCAACCACACGGGTTGATTTCTTACTCAACGTCAGGGCACCCAGACTGAAGGGTGGCCCCTATTGGAACATTGTTGGTTTGAGGCCAAAAGTGAAAGAGTTATGGTAGAACCATGCAATGGCTATTTAAGCTTTTGCTGAGAACTGGTCCACATCACTTCTGCTCGCATTTCATTGGTCAGCACAGGCATAATTGCCAAGTCTGATGTCAATGGTGTGTGGATATATAATCCTCTCTCAGGGAGTGGTAGTCAAAAATTGAGAATAATAATACAATTTGCCACATTCCATCTCAGCTTGGCATCCTGCTCTGGAGGAACTGTAGCTCTTCTTTCAAATCTGACTTCCAGAATTCAACTTGAATATTCATTGTGTGGTCTGGCCAGTACAATATACAGAGGTACTATATAACCCTTTTCCCAGGCTGAACATTAAGCATTTATAACAAAGCCTAACATTGGATTAGGTTTTGTTTATTTTTAGTTGCCATATCACACTGTTACTACCCATCGAGCCTGCAGTCATCTGAAACCTTGGGTCTTTCCCATTTCTACATATTCAGGCTCCATCCTATGCTGCCTCTCTTCTGACCTTTGATGTTAAGCCCCAGTTAGGACCATATATCAGGAGTAAGATAGGGCTTCACACATTAAATACCTTTATAGAGAGGAAACATCTTCTCATCGTGTGATTTCCTGAAAGAAATCCTTCCGATTCACTCTCCCTCACTTGTTATGGGCTGAATTGTGTCCTCCTAAATTCCTATGTTGAAGCTCTAACCCCCAATGTGACTGAATTTGGATAAAGAGGCTTAAAAGAGGTAATGAAGGTTAAACGAGGTCATAAGGATGGAGTTCTAATCCAATAGGACTGCTGTCCTTATAAGAAGAGGAAGAGATACCAGAGGTTTGCAATCACAGAGAAAAGGCTACGTGGGGACACAGGGAGAAGGCAGCCTCAGCAGAAATCAATCCTGCAAGAACCTTGATCTCGAACTTCTAGCCT